AAAAGAAATATATATTAATATAAAATCTCCTGTGTGATCAAGGAGAAAAATTGACTTGTCCAGTATTCAGAGCAATACATTTAAAATAAGACTTGTGGATAATTATGGAGTGAAATACAGCACTAGTTAACCATAGTAACAAAAATCTTGTATAAATTTTGTGCTTTAGGAAATGTGTATAGGTGAAAGGTAAAACTATAATAGGCAAATCTAAGAGTGCTGACTGAGGGCAAATGATGCTAACATCTGCTTTTCATTCTTTAAAGCCACTGTTGCTAATAATAATGTAAGAAATGAGTAGACCATGGATAAATGAAGGCTTACCAGATTTTTGCAAGTCAGAAAGATTAGTGGAGGGGAACCAGCAACAATTCCGTGGGTACTATCATTTAAAAATGTTATCTGATGACAGGAATCAAAGACCAAAGCATTTGTATGAGTTGGTAGTACATTAGCTGACAATTCTCCCGATTCCCGTTAGAAATATGTTATATAAAAAATAATTTGGGTTTTCAGTCTAATAATTAGTTTTGTTCAGAATATGGTGTGTTGCTCATAATGCTTATAGTGTTTGTTGGCAGCATATGAATATTACTTGTGTAATATCTGTGGTTCTGTCTGACAGCAAGAGCCGTTCCACCGTGGAACAGGCTCCCTCTCCTTCCCACTGGCGGAGGAAGAGACGTGCGGCGGGAGCGCACCGCCCTGGCAGCGTGATCCTGGCGGGGTGCCATCGCGGCTGTTCCCCCTGCTCCCGCTGGGTGCCACGCCCCTACAGGCGGCACACCATGCCCCTACGGGTGGCGCTCTATGCCCCCAGGATGCGTGCCAGCCCCGCCCCCTCCTGCTCTCCGCCCCCCGGTGCCAGAGCATGAAGCTCCGCCACTGCTCCCTCCTTGGAGGTTTCTGAGCAGATGTTAGATGACCACCTGTCATGGATGATTTAGTTGAGATTCCTGCAACTAGGTGAGACTAGATGACTCTCAGGGTCACTTCCAACTCTACAGTTCTATGATTCCATGATAGTATTCATAATTGTGGCCTTCCCTGCCACCTGTAAAGCTTAGAGCACATTACCCAAACATGTCACCAAAAGTAAGACTTATATGACAGTATAAGATATATGATAATCTAGTAGAAATGTTAAAAGACTAGCTTTGACCTTTCCTTTTAGATTACGCCAGTTGATGCCAAGAACCGCTTCACGTTGGCTCATTTTTTCTAGGCTTTTGTTTCATTAAGGATCTTTGTAGATGACTGTGTTTTTCCTTTGCTGACAAAGCATAACAATGAGTATGTGATGTCAGTAGCATGTTTTCTTATTAATATATTCTTACTAACCCCATAGCTCAGTTGGATAGAGTGTGGTGCTGATAACGCCAAGGTCGCAGGTTCGATCCCCGTATGGGACAGTTGCCTATTCCTGCATGGCAGGGCGTTGGACTAGATCAGGCACCCCCAAACTTGGCCCTCCAGCTGTTTTGGAACTACAGCTCCCATCATCCCTAGCTAACAGGACCAGTGGTCAGGGGTGATGGGAGTTGTAGTCCCAAAACACTTGGAGGGCTGAGTTGGGGGATGCCTGGACTAGATGATCCTCAGGGTCCTTTCCAACTCTGTGATTCTGTGATCTGGGAGAAAGCCCTAACCAGCAGTTCTTAATTCTGAGCAGATGTGGTTGGGATTGCAGTGTTAGGATGCAGATACATTAGTCAATTATATTCCTTATTCATTATTTTTAATGTATATAAGCAGTTTTAGTGAGAGAAGGGGTGAGTGAAAGTTAGTTCTGCATGATAGGTAAGTCATTTAAAGTAGCTGTAAAGGTGAAAAGCCTGATTATGTACAGGAACTGCATTCATGTAACTGGAAAGAATGGGGGTTTGCACTTGAGTAATCCAAGTCCTTCAGTCGGTCAGCGAAATAACATTCACGGGTATTTTCCCCAGGTTGTGGTGTCTGCTTGATACTGTCTTGTTGAAAGTTCTTAAGGGTTACAGTTTAGGAAGTGAAAACTGGTTGTATACTTCTTAATAAGTGACTGGGAGTGGCTTATGGGACCATATAACACCAGCTCTAAAGGATCTTCACTGGCTCCCAGTACATTTCTGAGCACAATTCAGTAGTGTTGGTGCGGACCTTTAAAGCCCTAAACGGCCTCATTTCAGTACACCTAAAGGAGCATCTCCACCCCCATCGTTCAACCCAAACACTGAGGTCCAGCTCCGAGGGCTTTCTGGCGGTTCCCTCACTGTGAGAAGAGCAGTTACAGGGAACCAGGCAGAGGGCCTTCTCAGTAGTGGCTCCTGCCCTGTGGAACACCCTCCCATCAGATGTCAAGGACATAAACAACTATCTGACTTTTAGAAGACATCTGAAAGCAGCCCTCTTTAGAGAAGTTTTTAATGTTCGATGTTTTGGTGTGTTCTTTTATACTTTGTTGGAAGTCTCCCAGAGTGGCTGGGGTACAAGAAATAAATTGTTGTTGTTGTTGTTATCATTATCATTATTATAGCAAATACAGTCATACCTCGGGGTAAATGTAGCATTGGAAGAGACCTCAAGGGACATCTAGTCCAACCCCCTGCAATGCAGGAATCTCAGATGGCCATCCAACCTCTGCCCACCTCCTCCCAAGGGAGTCCACTCCACTGTGACAGCTCTTACTGTCAGAAAGTTCTTCCTGATGTTTAGACAGAATCTCCTTTCTTGTAACTTGAATCCATTGGTTTGAATCCTACCCTGCAGAGCAGGAGAAAACAAGCGTCCTCCACCTTCCATGGGACAGCCCTTTGAAGATGGCTCTCAGACCTCCTCTCAGTCTCCTCTTTTCCAGGCTAAACATGCCCAACTCCCTCCACCGTTCCTCATAAGGCTTGGTTTCCAGACCCTTGACCATCCTAGTTGCCTTCTGCTGCACATGTTGCAGCTTGTCAACATCCTTCCTAAATTGTGGTGCCCAGAACTGAACACAGTATTCCAGGTGTGGTCTCACCAAGGCAGAATAGAGTGGACTATTATTTCCCTTGATTGGGACACTATACGTCCGTTGATACAGCCTAGAATAGTGTTAACTTTTTTTGCTGTTGACTTAACTCATGTTAAGCTTGTGGTCTACTAAGACCCCTAGATCCTTTTCACATGTCCCCCATCCCATATTTGTGCAGGGAGCATCCCATATTTGTGCAGGGAGATTGAAGTGAAGTGTGAGGAGAGCAAGATACTTTTTTCTCAATAAATAAAGTTTATTTTGCTGTGTGCTTATGGCAGCTTTGAAAAAATGTAGTCAACTCCATCAAGTGAGGTTAAGTAAAGGAGGGCATAAATGAAAATGAGGTAATAGATGCTATAGATAGTCCTAATGTCACACAATGCAGATGCAGTATATGTATGAAAAGCGTAATAAGAAAATATGTAAACTGAAACATGATGTTTCAGTTAACTGCAGATTTAGAGGCTGTTCTGAAAGTGAGCATAAATGCTCATGTTATGCTCAGGAGAAATCTACATATGAAAGAGGATTAGTTCATGGTCCTATGGGATATATTGTGGGTTTGAAATACGGTATATTCTAAAAGCAGGTGAAACAGATAATAGTCAAATTTGATAGGGCTGCTGAACTAGAAAGTTGCTCCATAACTGAGGTTGAGTTTCCATTAATAAGGGACACACATGTTGTGAGGAAGCAGTTTCCTCCCGTAACATTATATGGTTTACCATTCATAAGTCTCAGGGACTTTCTTTTAACCGAGAAGCGCTTTTCAAGGCAAGCGTGAGTTGTGTAGCTTTATCTAGGCTATGGAAGTTAACTGGTCTACATCTACTGGCATGTGATCCTTTAAAAATACCCTGTGGCACAACGTGCATGAATGCAGATGATGAATGCAGATGATGAATACAATAGATCTGCACAGTTGATTCCTACCTCACCTGCTTCTTCTAGAAAGGCCACCAAAAAGGGACAGACTGTTTCGCCCTCTGTAAGTCAAATAGGAAACTGGGCCAAAACCCTAAAATGTGATGTTGAAACCACAGAATGTGGGGTGGCACTTCCATGGGATTTCTGTAATGACCCTGGAATATTCAGAATTATTTGGGCCCAAGATACCTTAAGGACTACTTAATCCATGGGTAGGCAAACTAAGGCCCGGGGACTGGATCCGGCCCAATTGCCTTCTAAATCAGGCCCGCAAATGGTCCAGAAATCAGCGTGTTTTTACATGAGTAGAATGTGTGCTTTTATTTAAAATGCATCTCTGGGTTATTTGTGGGGCATAGGAAATCGTTCGTTTTTTTTCCCTTTTCAAAATATAGTTTGACCCCCCACAAGATCTAAGGAACAGTGGACCGGCCTCTTGCTGGAATAGTTTGCTGACCCCTGACTTAATCCTTTCTATCCCTGCCCAATCAGCAGGGCCTGGGGGGGGGGAGTCACAGTTAGTGGTCCCCCAGGAACTTTAGGGAACTTTCTAGTTTTATGGAACTTCCTTCCAGTTGAGGGCCGGCTGGTCCCCTCTCTATTGAACTTCAGCTGCCCACAGGAGGCTTTTTTTATACCAGCAGGCATTTCAAGTGAAGTTTGCTTTTATAGTTTTAACTGATTTTTATTTTTTTGTATTGTATCTTTGTAAACAGCTTAGAGACTATTACAGCTATGTGGTGTTTAAATAAACAAATTAGCAGTAATTTCAAAATAAGCAACATTTAAGCAAAGAACATTTAACATTTTAGTTGAATTCTGTCATTCATCTTAATTGCTATTATTACTAATGGTGCTTGCGTACTTTAGTCAGCTATGTTGCTTCAGTTGCCTGGGGAAGGGAAAAATAGTAATTTTTAATTATGCTGAATAAGGCATTGCAAATGTCTGAATGGAACAGCACTAACTTGATATTTTAAAGCATGCACACATTGTTCATGGGTTTTGATTTGCTATTTTTCATTATGTGGTGTTTGCTCTTGTATACCTGCAAACATTGTGGTTTTCTTTGTTTACTCAGATGAGTGGTACTGGATCTAGTCCAATGTCGACTATTGCTCCATCAGGCAGCGGAAGAGGGACTGGGAAATCAACAAACTTTACTCCTGAACTGCAAAGTATGATGTAAGTATCCGTTTTGTTTCCATATCTTACTACATTCACAATTCCACATAACTAGGAAGCAGAATTAATAGAGGGCAGGGCAGATTTGTCCCATATATGCTCATTAATTAATTTTGCAAAGTTTGAAAATGGTTTTTAAGATTTATTAAGTAACTTAGCAGACACTCTTGTTGTTGGATTTGAAATCACATGTAGCTAAAATAAACTTACATATAGGAATGCTATATATTTTTCACTGTCTATTATAGGGTGCTTGATCCTAGGATTGGAAGGAATATTTTCTGTTTGTTAAATTACTTTTCTTTCTTTTTAAAAATGTATTATAATTTAGAGTTGCTTTTTCATGATTCACAGTGGTATGTTGCAATAAAATAATGCTGTTTGTGACAGAATTAATATGTGGACTATTTGGAACTGATTAGTCTTTGCTCTTGACAATAAGAATAATTTCTTACAAAGAACAGAAATTCACTGTAAAATGACATAGTGATGCAGTTCTAATTTGTGACGAGACTGGAACACTGTTGTTGTTTTATCTCAGAATACCTAGATTTTCATAAAGCCGTTGGCTTCATATTTTTAAAATTCCATAATTGGGAGGAGCTTGATTAGTTGCCTTCTACAATGGGCCAGGCCACAAATCTTGATTTGGTGGAAGGCAACCTATTAATCAGGGAGGCTGACCTGCCATCACATGCCATGTTTTCTTTTATATAAATCCAAGATGTATTGGTCTGCAGAAAGTGGAGAGAACTCAAGCTAATGAGTTCTTTCTCTATGGATCATTATTTCTGATTTATCAAGGAGTTAAAAGAGAATGTTCAGCATAAGACTTAAGATTTTACTCTTCTCTCAGAGCTGCAGATGGAGAGCAGGGCGGGTCCATTTTTGTACTGCATTTGTTTAGTTTTATTATGAATGCACCCCCCTAACTCTTTAGTGATAGTAATTGGCCATGCGCCTACATAATTTGCTGCTCTTGGGAGTGCTGTACACCAGTTATGGTGCTTGATTTTGTATAGCAATGAGGTAATATGCTTAAAGAATTTTTACACCCATCTGTTGGAAAAGAATTGTATACACTTTTAAAGCTGGGACAAATGTCTTCTTGTCACTCTAAAGAACAGCATCTGTCTTCAAAGAAGCAGACAATAATTATTACCATTCAAAGTTTATTCTTTTTCAGTAAAAAGTTCAGTTATGTCAGAATTACTCATGTAAACACAGTTTGGACCACTTGGACTGCTAATGTTTGCTAGCCTCAGAACTAAATTAGGTTTGAAAGTGGTGTCGTTATAAATAGATATAATGCCAACTGACACATTGTCATATTTAGGGGCTGAGAACAGGCACCTGGAGATATCGCCCAAATGTGTCTGGGCGTGACTGAGTCTGTAGTTATTCAAAACACCTTTTTTGGTATAGATAGCCATTTTGGATTTACTTTTGGAAGGAAGAGCAGGGTGCAATGTTCTGGCTGCTCTTAGCTTTCTGCCTTTTTAGTGCTAGAAGGCAGAAGATGGTGAATTTAAACCACTGCTGCTAGTATCAAGCTTTGAAAAAATAGGTTGCTGCTGCTCTCTCAGCAATAGTTTGGTTTCTGTGGGGGCAAAGGCCACTGGTATTGTCCAGAACAGTGAATGGGTGATTGCTCCCTCCCTAATTACTCAGAAGCCTTTAGAAGTGAAGTGTACCTGGCTCTTGTCCAGTGGATCTTCTTTTTTGGGTGGTGGGATTGTATTGCCATCCATATCTTTATTCCTTGTTACATATTTCTTAGTCTTAAGAAGTTAATGTTTCCTATCCCAGTAGACAGAAGTTATACCAGCCTTAAACACCTGGCACGTGCAGATATTACTACTTGCTGCAACTGTGGGTTTACACCAGCCTGTGTGCAGTGGCAATTGCCATGCAGTACCCAAGCAGTTGTGGAATTATTTCCAAAAATCACACGAAAGAGGATCCTCCTTGTGCATTAGAATGCTTGCACACTGGCTTATTCTTGGCTGTTTGGTAGAGGGCGTCTCTGCATGACAATTTCTAAAATACTAAAGCAGAGAGTTTCAAAGTGCATCAAAAGCACGTCATGTATAGTAGTAGCACAGAGAAAAGCTCATAATGGGGTTCCATAATTTAGAAGTTCCATTTTTTTAAAAAAACAACAACACTTTGTGTGACTGACCTGTATGTCAAGGACTGTGATCCAAACACCCATTGCCCCAGGTATTCAGTAGCCTGCACATAAATATCCAATTATATGGGAAACCCAAACACTATTGGCATAGTAGCACTTAATCAGTGCCATGCTGGAAAAAATATGCCACAGCAAAATATGTCAGTGGGAAACTCTCGGATTCACTCATAAAGTTTCTATGACTTAAGTGAGGCTCTGACGCCTTGCTAGGAAATGATACAATTATGTTTCATTTCAAATACATTTTTTATCTTAGGTTTCCTTTCCCTTGGCAATTCTTGGACTTTTTAAAGTTTGTTTCCCTAAAAGCGTTTATCTAAATTGAATAATTCATATTTTGATATTCAGACTGGGAGGAAATATAACAGAACATTACTTGGGCTTGGAAATCAAAGCAAGGACATGAGTCTAGTGAGCTGTTGTAGGCCAACCTGATTCTTTGGGCAAGTAGCAGAGAAGCTTTTATTTTTATATAATTGCTGACTTCCTGATTAAGCACTTTCTTAACTCCCCTCCCCGCCAGTATACACACAATTCCTGTCAGTGCAGAAGTTATTATTGGCTACGTAAGTGAAGACCTAGACATCTTCATACTGTTTTGGACCTAGTGCTGTTTCTACTTTTAAAAGCAATCCAAACAAGTAGACTTTGATTCTGAGATACATTTCACCCACTCTTCTGTTGACTTCACTGGAGCTGGTGGAATTCTTCCAGTAGGTTTATTTGTGTGCATTTTTCTTGAAAAATATATACTATTAGCAAATAATAATTACATGTCAGGAATAGACTGTGGACATAAATATTAAAATTGTTTCCTTTGGCTTCTGCTCTATAATAGGTTACCACAAGAACTTATCTAGAATCCTTCAGGAACTTAAAAAAAACCTGCACCACGTAATTTACAGGCTACTTCTAAAATGCATTTATTTGAGGTATATTGATTTCACTGAAACCTTCCTCCATCTTTGCATTAGGCCTGTTACTTGCCAGACCTGCTAGCCACCCCATTACTTAATTACTTACAGGCCGGGTTTGGACATAAAAGTAGGGTTTGATTAACCATATTGTGCACAAGCTTCAAGCCGGTGGATGCAGGTCAAATGCTGCTACTTCCATTCTCTCTCAGTTGAAGAGGGACCAATCCACAGAGCGGCTGGCTTAGCTAGCGTCATGTCTGAACCAGCACTCGGGGCTTGTTTCTCCAAACAAATCACAGCCGGGAAGCCAAGGTTTGTTCTTGGCTTCTTGATATGAAGGACACCTGGCTTGCCAGTAATACACGTCAAATGTTACAAGAAAGGAGATTCCAGCTGAACTTCAGGAAGACCTTTCTGGCAGCAGGAGCTGTTTGACAGTGGAACAGACTCCCCCAGAAGGTGGTGGACCTTAAAAACTTTCACTGGAGGTTTTTGAGCAGAGGTTGTATGTCATGGATTCTTTAGCTGAGAGCCCTGCATTGCAGGGGGTGGACTAGATGACCCTGGAGTCCCTTCCAACTATACAGTTCTATGATTCTGTGAGCTAAATATTTGGTTCCATGGCTGCAGTAACCAATCAAGGACACAAGGCATAGCAGCAAAATATCTGTGACTGGATTTCATGCTGTTTTTAAAATAAGTTTAATAGCAACTGGGGGTGCTCCATTTGGGACTGCAGCAGTTTGGAAGATGCACTTTAACTCTTCCCTTGGGCTGGTTTGATGATTTAAAAGCCCCCTCCCCCCACTACTATTTGTCTTGTGGGATGAAATGTACATTGAGTGATGAAACCAAATAAAGAAGTTCAAGTGAGTTTTCTGATTCTCTCCATCTTGTTTTGCAGTACAATTTTGGCAGGCATCTACTAGAATTACAATTTAATGATTAGTCTTCAATTGTCATTAATTGACAGGCAAAATGTGTGGGTATTAGTAAATTAAAACTCAAGCCATATTTGATTCTACTGTGTTAAGAGGCTCCAGGTTTTTAGTCTTATTTCAGATTGTCTTTTCGTGTTGAAGCATCACATTAAGTAAATGGCAAATATAATGAGAGTATTTTGTGTTTTCATCAAGCTGATTATATGATTATATTATAATCAGCAGGATGAAGCCACAACATATCCATCCTACTATGCTAATATTCCTACAGCTTTTAAAATTGTACCCACAGTAAGAGCCCTTTGTAGACATGGAGGTGGCTGGGGTGTGTATGTCCTTTGGCGCAGGCATCCGTTTGCTCCTGTGGAGCCGCCCATTAATTTCTTCTAAGTAGCAAACATCTATGTGCAAATTAATTTCTTCACCTGGAAGGAACTGCTGAACGAGGGCATGTGGCTGTTAAGTCATGGCCAAGGTGGGGTTTGTTTGTTTTTTCAGGCAGAGGGCATCTTCCATGGGGCTCATGGCAATGGTGGGCACGGACAGAGGAAAAAGTGGGCAGACCAACTCTCACGTGTAGGCAACAACCCAGTCAGAGGTTTCTGTAGAAATGTGGGCACACACATCAGTCACCCCCACCTTGATGTATGTGGACTGACACATTCCAGCCAGGCAGAAGGCCCTGAAGAGCATGTGAGGGTTATGGCCTGGGGGTGAGTTAAAAGGCTAGAAAAAGGCCTGGAGTCAGACTGCCGTTGGTCTGAGGTTCCCCAGCCATGGGCTAGACCAGCCTTTCTCCACCGTGGGTCCCCAGGTGTTGTTGGACAGCATCTCTCTTAGGCAGCAAGGACAGTGGTCAGGGATGATGTGAACTGTAGCTCAAGAACACCCTGGGAACCTGAGGTTGAGAAAGGCTGGGTTAGACTGAAGTTGCTTAATGACAAGAGA